GAAGCCTGGGGCTGTGGGGACGGGGAGAAGGGAGGTGCCGCGGGGCGGCTGAGGTGCCCCCGGCTTCGGGAAACCAAGCGGGCTGGGGAGGAGAGCTGAGCTTGTGACTGGGAGAGAAAGCAGGAGCGGACGAGGGAGAGTGCAATCAGAAAGTCGTACAAGAGCAGGAAAAAAGGTTCACCTGTTACTGCCGTTATGGCAGTGCCGCTGTTTCTTTGTTAAATTCAAAGTTTTGCTGTCAGCCTCATAAAAGCAGCGTAAAAGTGGAGTAGAGATCGGTTCGTGATGTCAAATGTCAAGCGGTCGTTTGGCGTAGTTGTTGCCGTGCAGTGGTGTGATCTGCCATCTTACCTGGACCACGTTTCTTACTGTATATCCTTCGTGTTTTAATCTTCGGGATGTGCTTGCAGTATTAAAATAGTTCAATCCTGGTTTAAAAAGTTGCTGTTTTTAAAATAATATGTTACAGTCCTGACTGGAGGGCCAAGTCAGCTACTGGGAAGGGGGTTCAGTATCAGGAAATTCATGAAGTAACCGGTTGCAAACTAAGTTTGAAAGCGTTTCTGGTGTAAGCTGCAAGAATCTTGGCAGCTGGCTTTGGGCAAGTGCAAGCTGCGTCCAAACAGGTGCTGTGTCCAAACAGGTGCTGTATCCTGTGTACCCCCGAAGGCGGCTGTGCTTCTGCCTCTTGCGGTCGTCGTCGGTGCGTGTTCCGTACCTGCGGTCAGCTCGGCGGGCCCCTTACTGCCCCGAGCAGCAGGCTTCCAGGGCTCGGGTGGTCAGTCAGCCTCCCGCGCTAGTGCGGACTGAAATACTTGCTGGCAACGCTCATTTTTTGGGATGTGAGCAGCTGCCGACAAAGAATTTGAATGAGGTCGACTCATGTCTCGCAGACCGTAAAATGGCCATCAGAGATCACGAGCCGTATGGAAGTAACAGCTGGGTGACAGTAACGCCAATTGCCCTGGCATGCTCTTACTGCTGATTTCAGTCTTTATGGGCAGGAGCTGGAGATCCCTGTTTTCACTAATACGTTACTCTTTAGGCTTAGAAAATTTTGTAGCTACTAAAAATAATCACTGAATATAGATCACTTATGTATGTATACTATACACTGGTAAATGCTTCCTTTTCAGGCCATGGAGGTCAGGAGATACTGTGGTTGGTGCCCAAATGGTTAGAGAGAAAGCAGCGAGGGGCAGGAACTGGATGATGCCAGGAAGAGCAGTGCGAGCGGATGCAGTCGTATTGCTGTCAGAGGATAAGTGCGGAGGTGGTAGAGGTGTCTGAATGCTAGTGGGGACTTGGCTTTTCTTCTGTGGCCTTGGTCAGGTTCACAAAAACGTGTGTGACAGTCCACTGAAATCTTTGCTTTTGTGATTTCCTGCAGAGGTATGCTTTCCTGAACTGGGACTGAGCCCAGCGCATTCTCAGAGCGTGTGTTTTTCTTCAGATAAAATCCAGAGAGAGATGAAGTCTCACCATGTTTGTTAGCATTATAACCTCTCTTAACCTTGCCTTTCTCGAATGTTAGCGTAATTGTGAAAAGGATGTTGTCTTACAGCAGCTAAAAGATTATTTGCAGAGATTGTTTTTCAGCCTTGTAGCTGAAACAAGTCTAGATAAAACTGTATGAAACAATATACTGGCATAGTGTTACAGTAAAAAAACAAACCAGGAGAAGAAACCTGGCAACCCATTTGGACTATGTGCTAGATGTAGCCCCAGATGGAGGAAGTAATTTAGATTAGCTCTCCAGCACGAGGCCTGGTCCGAATCTTTGCACACTTTCTATGAATCTGGTCGAGGCAGCTACGATGTTACTGGCACCCTTCCAGCCTGTCCGTCACAGCAGTGTTTTGCCTTAACAGTCTTGTCCAGTCTGGGTGGAAAAAAGCAGACTTATGTCCGCATCCCTTGAGGTAGTTGCAAAGGCTTGCAGAGCTTGTTGTCTAAAAGCTTTTAAAGTTGACCTATTCGTTCTTCATTTCGACACCATCCTTCTGTCCCATCTTAAGTAATTCAACTGCAGTGATTACAGCCTGTGTGGTCAGTCATCTGGCTTTGTATCACAGCTGCTTGTTTCTTTTTTATAAAGTCTGTACAGGTTGTTTCTAATCAGCTGATGGTAGTGATTATTTTTGTCTAAACTCAATTTATTATTTGTCTGTCTCCTAATACAAGTGACCATATAAGCCAACACGGTCAGTCCTGGGCTATTACTCTGTTACTTTAGAATTCAAAGTTACGTTGATTTTTAAAGAACATGTTAACAATAATTTTAATTGTTTAAAACTGGTAACTGTAATTTGCTAGACTAATTTAGTGGTTAGTAAAAATTGCATCTATCTGTTAATAGTGTTTAAAAAAAAACCCTCGAAACAACCCAGCAAGCCTACTGCTAAGTGGGGAAGGTTGGTTCCGTTTTTGACTGTGTGAATCCAGCAGTATGGTCCTGATTGTTTACTTAGAGAAAGGACAGAAAAAGACTTAGGTTGCTCTTCAGCTTATGTTTATAGAACCACTGACAGCAAATAGTGGCATTTTGAACTTCCTGGTGCCAAAAATGAGAGCTTTTGAGATGGCATTTTGCATCTTAACCGACTTGATCTGCTAATTTAGCAGAACAGAGCTATTAATAACAGTATTTGTTAGATTTTAGTGTAGTTGTTCACAGAGAACACTGAAGTGCAATCTTAGACTTACTAACATTTCTTAAAGGTAATTTGGTAAGTTTTATTTACGAAAACACTGTGTCCAAGGGTTTGCATGGTACTTTCTGAATGAATTTTGAAAGCTGGGCAAGCACTGTGCTTTCTGAAAGGACTTTCAAAATGGAACTGTCCTTGTAAGTGAAGGACGGCAGCAGGGGGATTATGGCAGAGTTCAGCTTTGTGTCTCCAAGTGGAACCTTCTCTCTGCCTGCTCCACAAGGGTAAAGCATTGCACACTGCCTTGATTTTGCTGTTAAGAAAGCCTGGTCTGCAAATGAAGTGCATATGAGGCTTGTACATGAACTCAGGCTGCTAGGAAGCCAATGTTCAACGGGAGCCTTTGTATTTCACTCTGCCAGTTACTTTTCTCGTGACTGGTGGCTATTTTTAGTTTCTCCTAGTGAAAAAAAAAAGTCCCCCTTGTACTTTTAACAGTTTATATACTGTTACGAGTGTTTGTTTTTCCATCTGAACCTGACATTTTCTGGAATGTTATACAAGGGATTGTTTGTCTCGCCTGAATGTGGTGTTATTTATTTTGCTGAGACCAAACGCATCTAAAAGCATTTTCACTGTTGCAGGCACTTGGCTTCCTGTGGTATTCTGATGACAAGAATTTCTCCTTTGCAAGCACCTGTAATGAGCCATACCTTTTCAAGAACTTTCTTCAACCTTGCTGCACCACTAGTAAATAAAAGAAAAGAATATTCTGAAAGAAGAATCATAGGGTTTGTATAGAAGTGTGGAAAGAAACTTTGTGCACTTATCGATTTTGTGTTTGCTGTGATTAATCCAAAATGCTAGAAGTTCAAAGACTGAGCATCCCTGGAAACACTCTGCCCAGCTGGAGACTAGGAAGGAGTTTTGACTTTCAGAATTTGTAGAAATCAGGCTTTTCCAGTCTGAAATTGAGTATAAAAAACCGTAGGAACCCAAAACCCTCACCCCATAGAAAGAAATAGCAGAAATAACCCTTCTGTTCCATGACAAAACAAAAAGCAACCCTGAAAGGGAAGAGTACACCATTAGTTTCATCTGGTGAAATGAGAATGAACCAACAGGTGTGAAAACTGTTTGTTCCCTTCTGTCCCAAATATGTGCTAATATTTACACTTACGGTATGTTGTACTTCTCACTTCTCGAGATTTCCTTCTTTCTGTAAAAGAAGGAAAATAATCAGTTGTGTGATGAAGAAACTTAGGCACACAGAAAAAGATTTTGAAATCCTGTTTGCCTTAAAGCTAGTGGGAAAATTCCAGTTAATTTAATGAGACTGGGATCTGCCCCCAATCTCTGGTCCACAATAGAATGAACTGTTTGTTTATTAGCATAATTTTTTGACTATGCATAACAGTCATTTATGTGATAGTTCTTGAACTGCAACAGATTTTGCAGTCACTTAAAAAGAGCCTTTGTCCAGTACTACTCACTGTGGAACATATGCTTCATTTTAGACACAGATGGAATCAAGCATGTACTTCAATTCTTTCCTGAAAGTCAGAAGTAAAAATTAAAAACCATACCTATGTAATGCTTTGCCATGTTACAGTAGAATTAAGTAAAAGTTGCGATGGTATTCTTTCATATGATTTCAATGTCCTGCTTGAGCAGGGGAGTTGGACAAGATGACCTCCAGCAGTCCTGTCCACCCTCAACCATTCTGTGATGCTGTGAGGTTTTTTCATTGCATGTAATTTTTTATTTAAGCTTTTTTAATTTGGGCTAAAATAAGGAAAGTAGTGTTCCTCTATTTCAGCCTTATGAAATAAAGTACTTTAGTTTTGATACACCTGCTCTTGGTAGCCATGAAGCATGGATTCTTTGTATGGAATGTCTAAGATCTACCTACATGAAGACACAGCTGTGCTGGAAAAATTATTTTTCCATTTGAAATGTATGTGTTTTTACCTAGTACTGCAGAAAGTAGCAGACACCATCTTCACTGTTCATTAGCTTTACTGCTGGATATTGTATGATATTTTGCATCTTTATGCATCTTTTACCAGGTTATTAATTTTTTCCCCTCTTTTTAATTTCCACAAACAGTGGTAGTGTTTTCAGGTGACTGTATGTTCACCTTCCAAATGGCCCATGCCATTTATACCATCTTTAAAACTTTTTAATACTGAATATGAAGTTAAAAATACCTTGTAACTAATGTTTGCATTTCTGTTTCTAGGTATTCTATGCAGGAAATGTATGAAGTTGTTGCTGTTGTGGAGAATTACAAGTTGTTTGTTCCTTGGTGTAAGAAGTCAGATGTATTATCAAAGCGCTCTGGATACTGCAAAGCACAGCTAGAAATAGGATTCCCTCCTGTAGTAGAGAGGTATACATCGGTTGTTACCCTCGTGAGGCCACATTTAGTTAAGGTAACTTTTTTTTTTCCTTAGCTGTAACTTTCCGTAACTTTTGTTTCTTGAAATTCAGTGGTGCTTCATAAGAAAACTGATGCTGGAAGTGCTTTGTGTGGATCCAAAGATGCGTTGCTTTTGTTTGAACACTTAAGTTAATTGGAGATAATTTGAATGTGCTTTTAAAACATAAGGTGCCAAATGGGCAAGGGGGGATTGCTTTTTGATTTCCTTTTGCTGGAGAAACTAGCAGCCACTAATCAAGGTATACTGTTTTTGTTAAAATTTTGTCCAAGCATCTCTAAATGCAAAACTAATACGGACTTAAAAGTTATCTTTGACAACTGTAGCTTCTGATGCCTTAGCAAAGTTGATACCTGTCATTACTTTTCCTCTGACAATTTTACCTGGCTAATGTGAAAAGTCTTAAACTTAAGTGCAGGATCTGCTGAAGAGCTTGTTATTCAGTGTATTGATGAGGAGACAGAAGAATGGCTTTAAAGTCCATTTTTTAGGATTAATTTGTTCAGAAGAGAAGCATTGTATTTCTCCTCCTTTCAGCTTTTTCAAGAGCAGTAATTAAAAATGTCAAGGGAGTAACTTTAAATGACGTCTGGATCTTCTGACTAGTTTGCCCTATACGTTCAAATCTCTTTTGGTTAGGAACAGCTCAGGACAGATTCCTTACAGCAAAACTGCCTCCCCCCTTCAGGTGGCAACCCTTGGCTATTTTTTGGAATAACTAGTGGAATTACAACAGTTGATTGCTGTTCAAGATAATTGTTTGGATATCCCATTTCACTGTTCTTTCCTAGGCTTCCTCTTACGAGACACTGCTCAAAACAGAAAGTGGGTTTCTTAAGTACAGGGGAGATGTGAATTTGAAAGGGAATGTGCACAGTGCCTTTATTCAAGGTACTTACTGATTCTGGAAAAAAAAAAAAAAAAATCTTTCCCCCTTTCTTAACAAAGTTGAACAGCCACAATGGAAAAATCTGCATTTTGTGTGCTGACTGCTTTCCCTTTCTACTCTTCCCTGACAAGACTGGCTTTTTGCTTTCACATAACTATCAGGTTGGCTTACTAACTCTTTTTACCTCTAAGTCAAAAGAGGGTTTCTTATGTCGGAAAAAATCATGAAGGCGTTAAGGAGAACCGTTTCTGTAGACTTCCTCCTCCTAGACTTATTAGTGCTTTCTGTGCTGGGATTATGTTTCCTAGAAGTTTACACTGCGTTCATGTAACTGTAGGAACATCTCTAGGGAAGCGACTTCACTGTCCTCGGAAATAACTCTGGGCAAAGGCAGCTAGCACGCCGCTTGAGCATAGCGGGCTATTGGTGGCCACAAAATGAGCACAGAGTTGTCGCTTACAGCAGCAGTGCTTGAGCAATGGAAAAGTCAGACTGGTAGCCACAGCTCTTGCCACAGAGAAAAGCACAGAGTGAGTTTGCTACTTATAAGGCTGGGAGCAAGTGGGACTCACTGGCAATTTTCCCATTCTTCCTGCCCTTTTGGTAGCAGCAGGAAAAGCAAGCCCAGCTCTTTGTGTCTAATCTTTGCTTTACTCCCCGCCTTTCTGGTATAGAAGCAGCAAGACACTGCATCTCATTCCTGGGCAGAAAAATGTGGGTAGTTTTGTGCTGCTGATTAGTCTTTGAGATGGCTTACCTGTTTGTCATGGCAGTCTTGTTGGAGCAGAGCTACTTGTGGTGGCAGTAAGACCTGCGGAAGAAGAGTTTAAAAAGTTACAGAAATTCTCTCTAGAAATTCCAAGACAACTGAGATTATGTATTTGGATGATTTTGAAGTATGTGTCTTTCAATCTTTTTCTATCATAAATACAGCCACACAAAATTAGCTATATGTGCTAAAAGCCAAATGAGTGAAAATAAGGACCTTATTGTCATGAAAACTATGAAACCAACTATTGCATATGCTTTATTGTTTTAAAGTAGGATTGTGTGCAAGCACTCCTGAAGTGTTCGTTAAATATGGCTTGCCAGTAACTAAAAGCCAGCGTATGGGCTGATTATGAACTTGAGTCTTGAGTGTATTGTCTCACTGACTTCATGGTCGCTTTTGATCACAGCAGCATCTTGCGACAGAAGATGTTTGGAGTTTGTCTTCAGTCAAGTTTGTTTTGACGCTAAGCATTTCTGTAGCCCAAGACTACCAGCCTATATATCAGTATATAAAACATTCTATACATGTAATGAAGAAAACCCTCAACAAACCAGTAAATAACCTTATCTTTTGCTTAAAACAGGATTCTTCAAAATTCTGGTCTGTAGCATTAGCATTATTTTGATGTTCTATGCATCACGCTGGAGATCTGTTTTATGACTCAAAACAAAAATTTTGCCTGTCCCTTACGAGGAATTCAGTTACTTTGCAGTAAACGACACTGTGCAGATAGAATCTTGTACTGGCCGCACTACAGGAAAAATTTTAACGCTACTGTGACCTTCACTGTCTAACAAAATGCAGATGCAAACATCAGTAATACCGATTTCTCACATCTGCAAAAGCCTAATTGTAGCTTGACTTTTAAAACTTTCTTTTAGGCATCCTGCACAGACGGAAGACTATTTAATCACTTGGAAACCGTGTGGCGTTTCAGCCCAGGTATCCCTGGTTATCCAAGGACATGTACGTTGGATTTTTCAGTAAGTATTGTAATTAACACTACCATATGCTTAGAACAAGGTATAGAAACAGTATCTGCAACTGTGGGTTTTGCTGTTTTTGTAATGGTTGGTACTGATTTTTTTTTAAGTGTATACACATGGAAAACAAGTTAGTTCTAGTGACTACTAACCAAAAAAATTTTGGCAGACTTTACCACATGGAAACCACCACAGTACCCTTTAGAGTGAGCAGTCTTCTGTGAGGTGTCCGCCTGTCATGAAACAGTCTAGGGGCTGGTGTCTCTCACTGTACAATTCTAAACGTGCTGAAGTTTTAGACAAATACAGAGGGAGAAATACTAAGCATACTTTGCTATTTCCTTTAATTTCTCTGCAACTTAAGTGCTCTTGGTACCAGAAAGTAGGTATTCTCCGATCTGTCCTGCCTGGCCTGCAGTTCGGACAATTTAATTTCCTGGCTTCCAATTTTACCCTTTCATGTGTTTGAAGTCTTGCTTGTTCCTTCTATAATACAGGTATAATAGATTTTTGTTATCTTTCTGCTCTGTGATGGGATATCACTGCAGCTCAAGACTATTGCTCTTTATATCCAGTATCTGATTTAGCCCATTTACTCCTAGACAAGTTGCTTTCCGCTCAGGTTCTTGCTTTTCCATTTTGTCTATTTAGTCTGTCATCATGTTTTATAGTGTTAAAGTAGGTGTTGCACTGAGCACATAACTAAGCCGAGGTTCAGAACAGGCTACGAAAGCCCACAGAAATGGGTTGATCCTGCTGCCATCTACTGGGATGCTCTGCTTTAAAAATTCTCCTGCAAATAGGAAAAAAAGCTTTGGGAGTATTTGTGAACTGGCACATTAATCTCGTCGGGTTAATAGCTTTCAACTTGTTGCTGTATTGCACTTTGTAAAGTTCAACAGTAAAAATGAATCTATAGGCACTCAAAAAAATACTTCTCTCATGGGATTTGCCAACAATATTTGCATGTTATTTGCTCATGGTATTTGAATTTCTCCAGGCAAGTAAGTGCCAGTTCCTGCTACTGACCAATACACAAGCTAGCTTTTAACCCACGCCATAAATCAGTTGAGAAAACTTGAATTAAGCAAGCATTTGAGCCCTATAATCTAAATGCTGAGTTTGTGAGGAAAACTCCACACCCCACACCCCCCCCCCCAAGCCCGCTATTGACATTTTGAGTCAAGAACTTCAGGTAAAGGGAGTCAAAACAGACTTACATTCATGTTACTGATGCTTGAGGTCAAGCACATGTGAAAGACTAATCCAGGTGTGGCTTCGTCCTCTGAGGGTGATGGAGCACTGGAACAGGCTGCCCAGGGAGGTTGTGGAGTCTCCTTCTCTGGAGATATCCTGGACAAGATCCTGTGCAGTCTACTGTAGGTGCCCCTGCTTCGGCAGGAGGGTTGGACTAGATGACCCACAGAGGGCCCTTCCAACCCCGAACATTCTGTGATTCAGAGCCATTTAATCACTTCTGTGCTGCTGTTTCACAGTTAATATGCATTACGCATTAACAACTTCAGAGAAGCTGTCGTTGCTCCATTTGGCATTTAATCTGCTGATTTCTCAGGAATGAAAAAATTCATCTCAATCCAAAAGACATGTTACAGCATGAGTGATAGAGTCACAGAAGAGCAACCCATTTCTTTTCCTGAGAATTCTGTAATCCTTTTGGGAAGCTGTGTGTTTTAAAACAGTGTGATTCTGTAGCCGTAGGGGAGCGTTATTTGACAAGACCGAAGGCCAGCACAGAAGTGTAACTGAAGGCTGTTTACCATAAAAGTGACCGTTTCTTTAGAAGATGGAGAAAGAGGACTCCCTGCACCCCTGCCATCACTGCTAGCTAACTACTACAGTGGCTCCAGTTTAACTGCGAGAGTCAGTAGCTAAAAGACAACGTAGACATTAAGTGCTGAGCACTGCAGGAGGAGGCCCGAGGGCTTGGTGCCGAGGACTTCACCAGGAGGTCTGTACTCTGACTGCCCGCGTCAGCACGGCCAAGGTCGAGAGTGGGAGGCATGCAGGTAGGAGATAGGGCACACAAGAGCAAGTCTGTAGCTTTAGTCAGTAAATTGCTCTTGTTTGAACATACCATAACTACAGCTACCGAGAGGGAAAAGCTGATTTTAAATGTTGGTACTTAACAGGTAACTATTTCGAGCTGCTTTTAAATGCCTCTCGGGTTTGCCCCAGCTTACCTGAAAGCCTGCTGTCTTGCCACGCAGGATTTTCTTCAGACAACTGGTGTCCCCAAGTGAATCCTGTGCACACAGTAACCAGGTTATTGTTTACTAGTAGCTTTTCATTATCCCAGATCTTTTATTTCTGTTTTGTGATGTGTCATTTATGAAGTAGACTACAGTTTGTTTAGATAAATGGAAATAACTTCAGAGAACTGAACAAAACGATTCTTTTAACTGACAAGCCCAGGGAGACAGTCCTCTGACCAAGGAATAAGGCTTTTCTTCACAGACACTCGCCCATAGTGCAGTTTAACCGCTCCTTCTCCCACAACTAACTTGCAGACTAACTGGAGATGCTTTAATGAAGTTGTCCATTTGTACCAGTATTATACCACAACAGGAGATACAGGAAAAACACTTGTTCTCTATTTTCTTGAACAGGTTTCTTTTGAATTTCGTTCACTTCTACACTCAAAACTCGCTACGCTATTTTTTGACGAAGTGGTAAAGCAGATGGTAGCTGCCTTTGAAAGAAGAGCATCCAAACTCCACGGCCCGGAAACAACCATACCTCGGGAGCTCATGCTTCACGAAGTGCATCACACATAGAAGGGAAAACTGTAACAACCCTCGTTATAAACTTGTTTGTACACATCAGTTGTACACGAGGTGCCACACTCCTCCTCTGGGGCATCCATTTCCTCTCTGAGCTTTGTGTGAGATTTTATACTGTACAAACGGCCCTGTTCAGCCAGATGTATATAGAGTGGTCAAGCTGCATTCGAGTGCAAGTTAGCAGTACCAGCAACAGGCAGGTGGCAGCGGCTGTAACACAAGCTGTCTCAGGCTGCCGTTTGTTAACCTGCCAGATGGTTTGTGTAGTCACAGTGTGAGTTCTGCCTTATCCAAGCTTACAGGGGTTTTTTTTCAGCATTGTAATGTATTAACTCAAGTTTAATTTATTAGTAGCGTGAACGTAACTTAACAGCATCAGCCTGGCTGACTCTGGCCGAGCGAAGGGACGCTGACATTCTGGCTTTGGGGAGCACGGAACAGTTTGTCAGGCATCAAGTAGTCGGTGCTTTTAATCTAAATGAATGTCAGGTTCCCAGCTGCCCTTGAATTGTGACCAGCAACTGCAATAGAAAAACACCACGGCCTGAACACTGCGGAGCTGCCAGAAGAGAAAGGTGAGGGGTACGCGTGCCTTAAGGAGCGCTGCGCATTGAGCACAGCCTTTCAGCTATAGCCAGGGGCTCTTTGCTGTCTGGGCTCCCAGCCACTCTGGGATTCTTGGTACCTTTGGTGGGCTGAACTCGCTCTCCCTTAGGTTAGGGTAGGCACAGCTCAGCTGCTGCACACAGCTCCCAACACAGCTTTAAACAAAGAAATGTTACCCGCAAGAGGGAGGGCAGGGATGCGCAGCAGTCCCTACTGCCGTGCTGCCCTCGGAGGGAGCAAACAAGATGTCCTCTGCTTACGGCAGACTAGTGCCCAAGGCCAGCTGTCATTACAACAGAGCTAAACCTTAGCTCTTACCGTCCTTTCAGTACCATACTACCATTTAATTAGCACATTACGAGGGTACCAGCTGTCCTGATTGAATTCATGTTCAGTAGTTCTGTTCCTGACATTAATATTCTCTTTCCGGTCTCTGATGAAACATGAGGGAATGGGTTTGAAGAGGTTTAAACTCTGCCTCTGTGCTGCCTTGTTACCACATTTCCTTACTGAAGCTGGTGAAGCTCCAGGTCAGGTGTTGAAGCCTGACTGAGCCTGCTGAATCCTTTCTCTAGAGCATCCATAATCCACACGGTTACTACAAAGCAGTGTATTAAATAACATAGGAAGGGCTGTTTCAGGACAGACAGGCCTGAAGCACTTTCAGCCCATTCAGATACTTTTCCAGAAAGAGCAATTGAAGTTTCACCCATCTTATGGGTGAAGGATAGTTCTCATTAAAGGTAGGAAGCTGGGGAAAGTGACAGCTGGATTAAGAGGTCAGTTTTAAAGCACTGAGAAGTTGTAAAGCAGTTTTATATTGTCGAGATAAACACGCGAAGGTTGGGAAAGCAGGCAGAAGAGACCTTACGCATCAATGTTAGGAGCTGTGTCAGGTCAAACAACACAGCATGCGGCAAACAGAGCTGTCATTTTTAAGGCTAAAGCAGCATCTAGTACAAAATAATTCAAACTAAAGCCTGGAGCCCATTACCAGAAAGCTGGAAGACGGGAAGGCAGAGGGCAGGGAGGTAACCACATACTACACCCGAGTAAGAGAAGCAGTTAGGAAACGCACAACCCTTTCTCAGCAAAGGCCACTTACCTGTGTCAGGCCCTCAGGACACTTCCCTCCCGCGGCGCAAAGATGCTCCGGGTCCCTTCCAGTGCCTCAGACAAGCACCACAGACTCAGCAGAAGAAAAGTCAGCGTGCGTGCCTTATTGCCATAACATTGCTTAATATTCCTAAGAACTGAACTGTCAGCTCAGCGTGGGTACTGCTCACGAAAATCAAAGTCCCTCGCATTTCCGAGAAGTGTTGCAGGCAAAGGCATGCTTCCTGGAGGGAAAGGCCCTGTCGCTGCCATGCCCGGGTGCTGGGTCTCCAGCAAAGCTTAGAAGCAGCAGGAGGCCGTCAAGGTTCGCCCAGGACTAGGGCTTTGCGTGCAGATGAATAAGGTGATACATTTTGTAACTTTTGAGCAGTTTGTTTTATTACATAAAGGTCACAGAACTGTATATTTGCCTACTTTGTACACACTTGTCTAGTCTGACGCACAGTGGCTTCCACGTTCTTCCTAGCACTGCCAAGCACCAATGAATTCTGAAACAGAATATCAAGTGCCTTAAGTGACATTTCAATCGGGACCTCGGTAGATGGATCTTGCACCCAGTTATCAGGAATGTACAAATGTCTTTATTCAAAAAATACAAAATAAATTATCTGTAGGCATGGACACTGACTGTAAACAATTACATGTGTGTTAAATGAAATCCAGTAACTGATGGTTACAGTGATTCTTTTAAACACCAGCCTCACGTCAGTCACTATCCACCCTCTCGCGCTGACACCTGAAGGTTGTAAAGTCAGAACTGCCAGTCTCCAGCAGCACAGCTCGTGATGCCTCCCTGCCCCAGGAACTAGAACATGCCACCGCCCATTCCTCCCCCCATCCCGCCCATTCCTCCCATTGCCGGCTCCTTTTCTTCTTTAGGAATTTCGGTCACCACTGCTTCTGCTGTTGATAAGAGAGACGCAACACCCGCAGCGTCCATCAGAGCAGTTCTCACAACCTAAAAATAGGAAAGAAATAACTCAATACCTGCTGACCGTATCATGTGAGCTGCGCGGAGGGAAAGCTGAGAATTACGACTATTTTAGGTTACCTTCGTGGGGTCTATGATTCCTTTTTCTACCATATTTACAAAGTCCCCGAGCATTGCATCGTAGCCAACCTCCGATGGACTCTGCAAGATCTTTTCAACTATCAACGATCCTTCGACGCCTGCGTTCTTCGCAATAGTCATTGCTGGGATTTTCAGTGTTCTCTTTATTATTTCGATGCCTGCAAGAAAAAGGACGTTTAGAATTACCCATGACGTACACTGCTCCTATTGCCAAGGCACGCCCGCGCGCGCCGCAGATCCACACAGAACGAGAGAACCCTCCGAGCAAGAACATGAGCTATTTTTATCGGTTCCAGGTAAAAAAGTTCTCTGCTACTTGACATTTGTCAACAAATGATGTAATTGCAGGATATTCGCATGTGTCTTAGTTTCAGTTCTAAAACAGGCGGTGAGGAGCATTATCAGCGTCACACGGCACAAAGCCTTTTTCCGTCCCGTTGGCCACACCACCTCTTCAGCGCTCGCAGCCTGCCGCGGCTGTAACCGCCCGTTCTCAGTGCCTGGCAGGGCTCTGCAGGGGCACTGCCGCTTTGCCGGCTCGCTCATCCGCCTTAGGGGCGCAGCGAGAGCTCCTTCCCCCCCCCGAGCGGAGACTGCCGTTCCAAGGGGACACGAGGTTCTGCAGCTCCAGGAACTACACGCTCCCTCACAGCCACCTGCAGTTAATCTTACAGAGCCTCAGGACAGCAGAACGTCCGTTCCCGACACAGTAATTCACTGACCGATTCTCTGATCTTCGTTGGCCGGAGCCAAGGCATCCAGTGCTGGAATGCAGCGCAGCAGCGCGCAGCCGCCGCCCGGAACAATGCCCTCCTCCACGGCAGCACGGGTGGCGTTCAGGGCGTCCGTAACTCGGTCTTTCTTCTCATTCACTTCAACATCGCTCGTGCCACCAACCTACAACGAGCGAGCCACACGTCAAGGGCTGCGGAAGGAGCCGGGGCTACAGAACCGCTGCCGCACAACTGAGCAGCCAGCTGGAGTCACTAACTGGAGCGTGCCGGAAGCAGAGCCCTGCTCTGCCAGCCTGGCAGGGTTCACTCGGACCTCAGCGCTCGGGAAGCCCAAGCACACAGCTTTAGCTGATTATTTCAAGTTTGACTCTCACCTTCAACACCGCTACTCCGTCAGAGAGCTTGGCCAGTCGCTCATTCAGTTTCTCTTTTTCGTAGTCACTTGTGGTAACTTCAAGCTGCTCAATGATTTCTTGGATGCGTTTTTCAATCTGAGCCTTTTCACCCTTCCCCTTCAGAAGCATGGTGTCATCTTTTGTCACAATGACCTCTCCAACTTTACCGAAGTCATGAGGCTGAATGTCTTCCACATTTAGGGTCAAACCCTCTTCACCAAACACCTGCAACAAATTAGGTGAGAAGCTGGGATTCGCAGATTCTCCACAGGCGAGTCGTTTCTTTACAGACAGACGAACACAGGCCGCAGGCCAACAGCACGCCATGACCACAGCGCTGCAGCCAAGCCGAACGGAACTCGTCCCTGCTCCTCGCAGAGCCCCGGCACGCAGGTACCACGCAAACTGGCCCCATGGGACAGGGAGCTGCCAGCTGCTCGCGCACGGCTGGCTCACACAAACCACCGAGTGACAGGACAGCCGTGTTACCGGGTCCTCCGCGTACCTTGAGAAGTTACGAGTACGGGCGCTAAGCTGACTTTAGGACAGAGCTGGCCCCTTTGTTACTTTGTGCTCTGTTTAGCTTAAGCACTACGTTTTACTTCAGTAACCACCCTCGGATCCCAGTGTCACACTATGACTTTGAAGTGTGTGTAAAAAAAGCAGCATCAAGGGACATCAATCAGCACATCAACTGTTTGAGAGTTGAGTACAACTCCAGTCTCTTCCAAACATTTAAAAGAATTGCGTTTGCCTTACTCAGGTGGGGGCAATGATGAGACAATCAGTTTTACAAGGCGGCAGGAAAGCTTTGCTATTTCTAAGAAATTCCCTTGATGTTCTCCTTTCCCCTTAACCACCTAAATGCTGCAGGGAAGTCATGCGTATTTCAGTCAGCGAAAAGGACATACTACTGTCATAGGTCAGGGCTGCATTACACAGTATCTGCATTTTAAAAAAATACCAAGGTTCGAACATTAGAGTTACACTTTTGAAAGAAGGGGACACAGCCTGCAACACAGCAGACACAAGCTATGGACCTAAAAATACAGGTTCTTTTCCTCCTTAAAT